CTACTGTGAGCCGTTGGATGACTAGATCAACAGCCCAGAAATTGGATGTTTAGGAGCCTCAAAACACCCGAGTGCTCCCTAGACAGACTCATTATAGAGTTTCTATGGCAAGCTATTATTGACGAACCCTTATGTACAGGCAATTTTGTGATTGCTAGTTTTTTCAGGTTCACAATATCAGGATCAGAAGCATCAAAACAATCATAACTTATGATAATCTAGTTTAATTTAAGGTTTCGCATTGTCTGCAAGCCTTTTTTGCAGAACATTGAGGAACTACCTTTAATGTTAACGGAAAAATACTGACCAAACAGATCTTATTCTAAAAAGTTACATTACAAGAAATAAATAGGTTTTCATTGACTCCCAGGTTAATTGGTAGTACAGTGTGCTTTCAGGATGAAAAAAACTAAATACACATACCTGATCAAGATGAAAGTACATATGGGTGAACATATAGATGAATAAGATTATCCGAGCAATCTGTAGCAGAAAAAAGACATGTTAATCAACTATATATTCACCAGAGCAAAAGGGTCATTCAAAGAGAACGTTTAGGGTTTATTTGGAAAGGGATAAGCGGCACCCAAATCCTTATGGTTAATTCAAACTAGAGCATAAAAGTTTTAAGACCAAATCCCCTATTCCAAAAATCCAAAATGGCCCTTTTTGTGTTCATTAAAAAAAACCAAAATGACCCTTATCAATTTGTGTAGTAAAGTCATCACTAATCATTACCCCCAGCTATCACATCTTCAAAACAACTCAGAAACATATCAAGGAAGCTGCTCCTCCAGCAGAAGTTTTAGATTTCCATTTGATTTGTAATGATAAAAACATATAAAATGTAAATGAAAAAATATAAAAATGGGCACATTTTCACTGAATCTGGTTAAAACCTAAAAAAGGATAGTCCCGCAGTGACAGGGATATTTTTGTGTGCTGTCTGGTGTGCGTAAACAGCAGAAATAGTAACAGTAACAACCACAGGTGCCAGGGAACCTAACTATGCAATGCTCTAGCATTTAGAGACAATCTTGCTTAACCATATGCATTATGATTGTATAGAAAATTGTTGTAAAAAAACCTATGACTCATGAGAGCAGCTGTTGTACCAGCCATCCAACAAATAGGGCCACGCCATTGTATAAGTAAAGGTTACAAGTCTTCTGACCAGCAACGTCCAAATACCTGTAGAGATCATTACAATTTTTTTAAAAAAAACAAAATGAATGGTAGCCCCAATTCTTACTAAGCAGATTAGCAACAAAGGACATTACCATCTGAGGTTCACAAAGGGAGTCGTGACTTCGGTGAAGAGGACCATGAGTATGGACATGTGTGCTTTGCCACTCAACAAAGCAAGACCAATTGCATACATAGAAATTCCATGATGCAAGAGCTGAAACATCAATATTAGAAAAACTAACTCCTGATATAGAGGGAACCGCAATCGGAGAACTCCGTTAAGAGCTAGAGCATGTGCTATGACAGAGTGATACTTACATACTTCTTTCCACCTAAAGAAGGGAAATACAGCAGGATCATCGTCAAGTCTGTCAAAAAGTAACCAATCGAAACCTGCAGAGGCAACAATCGTTTTTCTTATGTCATGCGTATGATAAGCGACATGGAGTAAAGAAGCATCACATGTAATGTAAATAATCAAATTGTTGCTTGTTAACATATATTAAAGAAATCAAACACTCCTAACATTTTCATGTTCATTTTATTCTGAAAGACATGCAATATATATGGACAACAAATCGATTGTCTTCAAACGGAGGGAGAAATAAAGTTGAAATGCAGAGCTTACCCCAAACATGGAATCAGATAACCATGATTTTCTATCAATTATTATGCTATTGTGTGCATCTTCATTAAAGAGTTCAGAGATCATGACCAAGTAGAAAGACACGGCAGCAGCTACCAATGCATGGAGTGTAGAGAAACCCCTGCCAATATGTGGCATCATATAATCAGATTAAACAAAGCTAAAGCCATTTTCTTAAAAAAACAAAGCTAAAGCCAAAAATAATAAGAAAAGCAAAAGTATCTAAAAAGTTGTGTCTACACATATCTTACCTATTGTTCCACTCAACCTTTTGCGTGTTATTTAACAAATTGTAACATTTGAAACATCGAGAACTGACCTTTCGAGTCATCTCATACACCTGTAAGGACAACAGTGAGTATAGCATGATACAGAGTATTACAGGAATAGTTTGATCCAATAGCTTGAAACAGTACTCTTCTGTAAGCTCGGAATTTCAGAGGTATAATGAAATTATCAATTGAAAGATAGTAGCTGACAGAAATAGAGCCAAAAAGTAGTCAACAATGTTATGTTGGTTGTAACCAAGGACTCCCTTGTCCATGTGACCCATAGAATTATTTTTTCCGTACTCCTTTGATGTGAATACTATGTACTCCTTTGATAGTTTGAAATTCAGCTAGTGAAAGGCAGGAAAAAAAAACAAGGAGGGGCCAAGCGAGGGAAGCTTACAGCGCCGCACATGACGATGCCGGCAAGAACCGACGCCGGTCACAGAATCCGCTCCTGGGGTCCGAAATTCCCGTCCATCCCTCCGCTACCCGATCCAATCGACCAGCAGCAGCTCCGCGATGAGGCACCAAAACGGCAACACCTACGCCTCCCAGAACCCTGCGTACCCAATCCACTACTAATCCAGTCCTGGCACGAAACACAGCTCCACGTTTCAGTCTCCCGCCTGCCGCAAAAGCTTGGCAATTGGCAGCGCTTGGGGAAAAAGGAGCTGTGAATCTTGGAGGATTGGTACCGTACCTGCCACCAGGATTCTGCCTCTGTTTCGTGGGTTTGTTGTGTCCTGGCCTCGCTAGAGCGTTGTGCTCCACCGCCCCTCCGGGTTGCACGACGCCGAGCCGACGACTACTGGACGGGGCGAGGTGCTCGGTTCAGCCTTCAGCTCGGCGCCTTAGCCAGGGCACCACGAGACGGGAGGTCCTGCCTGCGTCGTGTTCGTGGATCTGATGAACGCACGGCTAGCAGCACGCTCTGAAGCATATTTCAACCTGCGATAAAGATTAGGTACATTGTCTGTTTATTATCTAACTATCTTGTACTAAAAATAAGTATAATAATAGTAAGTATTATAGCCAAACTAGTTAGCATTTTTGCTAATGCAGAAAGAGAAGAGAGGAGATGCATGAGAGCTTGACTCTCAAGTTGTGTTTGGTTCACCTTCAGAAAAATGTTTCACTGTCAAGGCAGAAAGCTAGTCAAACGGATAGAACCAGAAGCGGCTGTCTTAATTTTGACAATACTTTGGATCTTGCTTTTGGCTTTAACTTTTTCAAATGGGTGAAAATAGAGAGACGATTTACACTTATTACCAAATAGGTATTTTTTCCACATCACATAACTCAGGTCAACTTTTTCACAGCTCATAGATGAGCAGCTTTTTTCACAGCTCACAACTGAACCAAACAAATCCTCGTTCAAGCAACAAACTAGGTATGGGAATGGAAAAACTTTACTTAACCCCCCACCTTTCATACCTGGTCTACTTCACTCCCAACTATGAAACCGTCTGTTTTACCCCCTGAACTTTCCAAAACCGTCTATTTTACCCCCGTTGTTTTTTGACAGCGGTTTGCTACAGTAACATCGGTTGCTACAGTCCTTGTGGGTTTGAATTTTTTTATTTATTTTCGATAAATTTTTGAAAAATTATAGAAAAATCTAATTTTATTGGACTCCACGTGAGTAGATCTACACAGTGAATATATAATACGGTATGCTTTAGTACAAAATTTTTTTTAGCTTTAGATTAATTGGAAAATCCAATTTTTTCTGTAATTAATTAGAATTTATCTATAACTAAGTTATACATAGTCCAATGAATACGAAATTTTTACTATAGTTCAAGCATACAATAATTAGCGTACCATAAAAATTTCACCACAATTGGACCATAGAAGCTGCAGCTATGAATTATTCCAATTAATTACAGACAAAATTAGATTTTCCAATTAATCTAAGGCTACAGTTAAAAAAAAACCGTCCGGGGGGTAAAATAGACGGTTTTGGAAAGTTCAGGGGGTAAAACAGACAGTTTCATAGTTGGGGGTGAAGTAGATCATGTATGAAAGGTGGGGGGTTAAGTAGACTTTTTCCAGATGGGAATCTATATAGTGCGGGGGGAAATAGGAAAGAAAATGTGGATCATTAGTAAAAGTAGTACATATAATAATAATAATAATAATAATAATAATAATAATAATAATAATAATAATACAACTTTGTATAGACAAGTATAAGATAATTAATAATTAATATATAGCTTGTCATCTCTTAGTGCAATACTATACAATTTAACTTATAGTGTCAAGCACTTAGCTTTATATTATTGACATTGTTCTAACTAGTTCAGTTCGACGAGTGGCTAACAACAAAGTTGAGATCTTGCGAATCAAAATGTTGAGTGGCTAACAACAAAGTTGAGAACTTGCGAATCAAAATGTTGAGGCACTAGTTCAAGGTCAACGATTCGTTGAAATAATTAATAGCCATGCTTTAAAACATTGTAAATTATTCGTCCGAGTTGATCGATGGTTGTAGAGAATTGAGCCGTACTCAATTTTCTCAGCGTATCAATAATATTGTAGTAGGAGGTTGATTGTTCCATTAATAGTTTTATTATGATGGTTCCTTATTCGCAAGAGCAAAAAATACGATCAGTCTGCGCACCGTCGCATTATTAGGGGTTCATCATTGTTTTTGTCAGAAGAGGTTCTCTACTCCGTACTTCTCCAGGTTGCGATTTGCTTCTGCTATCAGCTCAGCTGAACACCGTCGTTCTCCTCATAAATAAACCAAGCCTGCGTTGATTCCGATGGAAATCTGAATTTTTCCCAATTAAGAGCGAACTCGACGTAATCACAACCAAATGTTGGCAAGCTAAATTCCGAGCGTAAAAAACAACAATGTAGAGAGAGGTATGCTGCATTGTCTAACAATGAGTAGGAGGAAGCTTGGTCCAAAAATCGTGAGTATCAACTATCAACGTAGTCGTCTGGCTCGTCTGAAGGACGAGGCTGATGCATCAAAATTAGAGGAAGCTCGGGCAAAAAATCGTGAGAATCAATGTAGTCATCTGGCTCGTCTGAAAGCCAAGGCTGACGCATCCAAATTGGAGGAAGCCCGGGCCAAAAATCGTGAGTATCAACGTAGTCGTCGGGCTCATCTAAAGGCCGAGGCTTGTTGCATCCAAATTGATTGCATCATTTCAAACCACAGCTATCCATGATGATAAAGGCAGCTCCTGTAAGAGGAAACGGGACATGACTTCAGAAGTTGGTAATATAAGTATTTTTGACTCTGGCCTTTGGGAACCAGAAGATGCATTGCATGGAATAGAGGGTATGAAAAGTTTAAACTGTGTAATTTGCAGATTAAAAAAATACATTGTATGTGTAGTGAGTAATGGTTTAATATTTATTTCAATAGAAAATAATTTAGATCAACATAACCCACATGAAGATAGCCCTGACATCTACGAGGACGATGAAGCTAGAACATTTACCGATAAAATAAAGGTGAGCTTGTGAGGATATTTTGCTATATATGTTATTATATATTTATGCTCATGCAAATATATATTATTTTTTATTTATGCTCATACAAACTTCGTAAAATCTGATTTATAATTGCAGATTTCAAATACGAGTATTGTATAGAACCCATAACAAGAATGAATGGTCATGGTCCTTATAACTTTGTGTATGTGGGTCTTCCTAAGACCCATCATGTCTTGAAGAAAGCGCAGAACTATTTTTATTGTCGCGCAAAGAGGTTTGAAGGTGAAGGTCCTGCATTTTGTTGCCGGAATGGATGGGTTAATATATATATTTATACCAGAAGTGCTAGATGAGCTCCGTCGATTGTTCACAAGTCAAACTGATATGGATACAAAGTACTTCGGAAGGAACATTCGTTACTTCAATACACATTTTTCTATCACCAACATGGGGGTTTCCATTGATCGTAGTTTAGCAACAGCAAAGGGTATTGGTATTTATACATTTAAAGCTCATGGCCAAATATATCACAAGTTGGATCAACTTGTGCCTGGTGTTCGGGGACCACACCACATGCAGTTGTACTTTTATGACACATATGAGACTATGCATCATAGGATCAAAAGGTCTCCACACCTTGACGCTGGTGTCATCCGCAGTATATTGAACATCATGCAAGACAATCCGTATGTTCAAATACTTAAGAGTCTGGGCACTCTTACCAACTTGGATTGCTACACTATTGAGCTAAATACAAGTATTTCTGTTGACCAGAGAAGATACAATGCGCCCGCAATGGAGCAAGTTGCTGCTATATGGTTTGATAGAAATGACCCACAACAAAGGTTTGAGTGAAGCATAGTCATTTATGGTAAATAAAATCAACCTCACTATATAAGGCCGTACCATGGTTGCTATGATCCATTAGCATATCCTCTGTTCAACCCTAATGGTGAAACTGGTTGGGAGAATATGATTTTATATCAAGACTCACCTCCATAGAAACCAAAGAGGAAATATACAAAGCTGGCACTAAAGGTGACTTCATTGGTTATCTGCATAAACAGTTGTTTTTCTTCTAAAAATTTAGTTATCAACCAATTACAAATTTTCTTACTTTTCTATAGGTCCAACACTTGTTGAGCTCAAAGATGTTTCGAGGATAAATGGAACTGAACAAGTGGAAGAATGAAAATGACAATAAGGTAATAATTGATGGACAAGAAGGTATATTTTTTTGAGCCAATCAATAAACTCTCTAAACAATGAAAATAAATTTATTTGTTGCTATCAACAGAAATTACTGTCACAGCGGTACATAGAGTATCTATGTTTCAGACTACAAATTCGTGAAGGAGAATTTAATGTCATGTTTCATGGTGGGAGGCTTTTCTAACAATGGGCTATAGATATGTATGTCAAGGTTGAGTCAATGCATTTAGAGTGGTACTCAAAACCAGCACATCAAGATCTAATTCGTGCTGATCTATATGAGGTGAGTACATTTTGTTGTGAAATTGAAGTTAAATTAAATTCATATTCATTAGAGTTGCTACAACGTTTTGTTGTGAGAATGAAGTTAACATGTTATTTAAATTCAAATTGACTACGGTCTTCAAGACAGCTGCTGGAGAAGCACATGCATCACATGCTGGTCTTAGAATTGTACTATGAAAAGATTTCCTAGGGAGTGACTGTGATGCGCACTCAAGATTTATGGATACCATGACTTTGGTTACTAGGTTTGGAAAGCCAGATTTTTTTGTGACAATGACATGCAAACCGTATTGGGATGAGACAGACAAATAGTTATTAAAGGGTCAAATACCGCAAGATTGTCCAGATATAGCGACAAGGGTTTATAGGGCAAAGCTACTAGACCTCTAGGATTTTCTTCTTAAAAACATGATTTGGGCGGTGTTGCTTCATGGGCCCATGTCACATAATTTTAGAAAAGGGGATTACCACATGAATACTTCCTTTTGATTATGAAAGACGAAAGCAAAGTACAAAGTCCCAATGATTATGACAAATATTTACCAGCAGAACTTCCTGATCAGAAGAAGTATCCCAAATTGTATAGGCTTGTGTGCAAACACAGGATGCATGGACCATGTGGTGTCCTCAACCGTAACTGCCCATGTATGGTAGGTGGTAATTGCCGCTTTCATTATCCCCGTAACTTTTTTTTGAAACCACCCAACAACGAAAGAACTCATATCCTATTTATAGAAGGAGGAGGATGGACAACAAGTGAAAATAAGAAGGGAATGGCTGAACAACAGATGGGTTGTGCCATATAATCCAATCCTTCTCATGAGGTATAATTGTCATATTAATGTAGAGGTTTGCTACAACATAAAGTTTGTCAAGTATCTGTACAAGTATGTCTTTAAAGGCCATGACTGTGTTTCCTTTTCGATGGATCCGACAAATGGGGATGGACAACCAAAGGTCATTAATGAGATTAAGCAATATAGAGATGGAAGATGTATAGTAGCTATAGAGGCAATCTATAGGTTATATAGTTTTCCTTTGTAGGATATGTCACCTTATGTGTTACAGATGCAAGTTCACCTTCCAGGAATGCATATGGTTTCCTACAAAGCTAAGGATGATCTGAACAATGTCGTGCGAAATCCTAACTCTCAGAGGTCCATGCTTACATAGTATTTTAGAACAAACATGGAAAATCCTGATGCACGAAAGTATTATATAGGGAGTTCCCTGAGTACTTCACTTGGATAAAGTCAAAAAAAAGTTTTGGAAACCATGATAAAAAGCTGGGTAGATTGGAAGACCGGTGTATGCCCATCGTGCTGAAGGTGAGCGATACTATCTCCGTGTTCTTCTAAACCATGTGAGGGGTGCTACTTCATTCGAGCATCTTAGAAGTCAGTGTGGAACTACATATGCAACGTTTAGAGATGCTTGTGAGGCCTTGGGCTATGTGGATACTAACAAGAGCCTAGATGACTGCCTCATTGAATATGCACAATTTAAGATGCCTTGTGCTCTAAGGCGGCTATTTGCAACTATCATGGTTTTTTGTGAGTGTGCTAATGTCCATGCACTATGGGACAAACATATAGATTCAATGTCTAAGGATTATCGTCGCTCAGATGGCTGCTCCAAAAGGATTGAACAAATGGTGCTTAGAGATATATCTATTCATGTTACAGATATGGGTAGAGACATTAGAAACTATAGATTTCCTAAACTACATGACTCAGGTAAATTGATAAATAATAAATCTTAAAAACTTATTTTGTGTTCAAAAAATTGTATTTGACTTAATATCACAAACTCCAATCTAAAACTTTTCATTAAACATTATGTATATGCTTCTTATTCAGCAATTTTGCATGACCCTTTACCATTATAGAGAGCTACAGAAGAATTGTTGGAGCATGGACTATATGAACTCATCGTAAGAGGTGTGTTTTTGATGGAGCAGCCCCTGATATTGCAAGAACTCTGATCGTTGCTGGAGAAGAGCGAAAACTATGGTCGTTGGCTGGGGCTCGAGGAATTTCTCTCCTGACTGCCCCCATTCAGAAAGATCCTAGTGCTGCTGTTGGTCGCCCTTTGAAACAGACATGGGCACACTTATATGCTAAGGACCATAGAGTTTGGGGAGTTTTGTATAAGTTGGCGTGAGTTGGTGTAAGTGTGTGGGCATGCTTTTTGGGTGGCCTGGGGTATGTTGTATGTGTTCTTTCCCCTTTTTCACTTCTTAATATAATGATGTGCAGCTCTCCTTCGTTTTTCGAGAAAAAATCAATATTAGATATGAAGAAGAACATTTGAAAATGATATAGACACTGAATGTTGAGCAGAGAGCTAGGCTTGATTTGATTATGAAACATGTGGAGAAGAAAATTGGCTAGGTATTTTTTGTTGATGGACTAGGAGGAACCGCCAAGACATATCTGTATAAGGCTTTGCTTGCAAGGTGCGCTCAATGAATCTTCTAGCAATTGCTACAGCCACATCTGGTATTGTAGCAAGTATCATGCCTGGCAGACGCACTGCACACTCTCGCTTCTAGATTCCCATCAAGCTAGATAATAACTCTATGTGCAACTTTACCAAGCAGAGTGGTACCGCCGAATTGCTTCACAGGGCTGCCTTGGTAATATGGGATGAAGTAGCCATGACAAAGAGACAAGCAGTAGAAACACTTGACATGACCTTGCAAGATATAATGGGTTGTGATCAACTTTTTGGTGGCAAGGTCATGTTGTTCAGAGGTGACTTCAGGCATGTTCTTCCCGTGGTGGCATGAGGTACAAGAGCACATATCATTGATGCTACTTTACTCATGTCATATATATGGAACAATGTACGTAGGATTCGGCTTTCCCAAAACACGCGAGCTAAGAACGATACCTGGTTTGTGGAGTACCTGTTAAGAATGGGGAACGCCACTGAAAAACATTTGGTGATGATAATGTTCAATTGCCTGACGATATCATGGTGGAATTGAGCCAAGATTCCGGTAAGATTTCAAAAAGGACAAGTTCAAAAGATGACACAATTGACAACCTTATCGAATAGGTTTTCCAAATCTCGAGGCAAATTGTACCTCTGCAGATTATATGCGTGAGCGTGCCATTCTTTCTACTGGAAATGAGCATGTCGATGCAGTAAACGCAATAATGATTGAGAAGTTTCTTGGAAATGAGAAGGTATATTGCAGTTTTGACTCAGTGGATGATGATAAAAGGAATAATTACCCTCTTGATTTCCTAATACTAGAAGAACACCCCACGCGTTGCTGCGGGAACTGCTGATTTGGATTGAAATTTAACTATTCAAATAATTCTTAGGAAGAGTTTAACTATTATATAAACTAATGTTAATGGATATATAGCGTGGCACACTGATGTAGACAATTAAATATATATTCGTGGATGATGTCTCGCTGACATGGGTTGTGCTAGTGGACACCTTGCATGTCAAGATAATATTCTAGTGGGGTTTAGAATTATAAGAGATATAGATTACGCCTAATGGGTTGCCTCCTCATGAGCTTAAGGTTAAAAAAACTGCCTTGTTATCCTATTATGTAATCTTGATCCTCACAATGGTCTTTGCAATGTGACTAGATTGGTCATTAGAGGATTTTAGAATAATTCAATTGATGATGAAATAGTTAATGGGCAACATGTAGAGTATTCATACCGAGGATTCCCATGTCCCCTCATAAGACCTTTCGTTGCTATTCAAGTTTAAGCGAAAACAGTTCCCAAAAAGGTTGAGTTTTTCGATGACAATAATTAAAGCCTAGGGTCAGACCATACCAAATGTGGATGTTTATCTTCCTTAACCAGTTTTCTCTCATGGCCAATTGTAAGTAGCGTTGTCAAGAGATGTTTCTTGAAAGACTACGTGGGTTTTGGCCAAAACAAATAAAGATATTGATTCTACGGGAAAGAGGACAAAGACTATTATTCTCTACAGAGATGTTTTAGAGTTGTGACACTGATACGTTCAATATTTTTATTTAACCTCATCTCAGTTCCAGAAAATATAATACCGGAACCAAATATATTTATGTTACATATATATTATTTTCTTGCAGGAAATGCAAGTTTTCAATGCATGCTAACACGGCGACGGCGCCTGATGGTTTTTAAGAGCAGCAAAATATTGGAACGTTGAAAGATAGCCAACCCCATCGCTTCCGTTGGAAGTTCAAGCCTCCGCCAGAGTAAACAACAGTAGGCAACGGCGATGTGATTTAGGAGTTTGCACCACACGGATAAAGGAGAGTAAATTTGTGACTTGCTAGCGTTATTCTAGAGGACAAACATTATTGTTCATAAATTATATTATGAACAAAGTGATGC